GAACATATTCACAGCAGGAAAAAAACCTTTAAACTTAACCGTAATACCGTTACCAAAAGATGAATTCAAATTAAAAGCCAATTAAAACAAAGACTGCAGCCATAGCATTTACAAATCTTACAGCACACAAACTAAGTGGCCCAATAGATATTACCCAAAAAATTTTCAAACTAAAAACTACTAACATAAGTCTGTTTATGTGTAAGAAAAAGCGTGGATATGTATTATGAGTCTCTAATGACCAAATATCAGTTTATATGCTCGTTGGGCTCCTTCAAAACGCTTTATATTGGAGACTCTTGCCAATCTGCTAGCATCTCTCTTGCTTTCCTGGTCGCTTTTTTCTTTTTCAATTTTTTGTTCAAGAGATTCTTCTGAAATCTTCTGAATACTTACAGGTTCCGGCAGTCTTTGTTCTGTTTCGGGTTCTGTTGCAACATGAAATACTGAAGCCTCATTTTCGGCGTCTTTTGGATTTAATAGTACGTCGTTATTATTGCTGTCATGAGAGGTCAGAGATGTATCGGGAGAAGATTGCGACATATCCCGACTGGATGCAAATGATACGGAGAGATGACCAAGGGAATCTTGTTCACTAGTCGACAATCTCGTTCGACATATTGGCTCCGCAAACGTCAAGCAACGTCGAGCTCCTTTCTCCTTATTCAATTTGTCTCGTTCGCGCCTCTCTCTATCCCAATCAATATCCTCTCCTTCGTATGTGTCCAGAAACATGTCCTCGGCTCCCGGAGAGAACAACCATACATCACTCGATTCCCCGACATCCTCAGGAGCCTCAAAATCTTCAGGTGTTGCAGTTTCCTCGGGCTCCACTTTGTTAACATCTCGCGATTCCGGTTCCTTTTGTGTGATTTTGAAGTTACTGTGGACTGTTCCACAGATGATTCGAGCTTTCTGATCAGTCGGTGATTCCTTTACGTCTTCCTCCTTTAGCTGTGCTTTCGGTTCGAACGTGCGTCTCTCTGAATCTCTCTCAACTCTACGTCTGATTCTGATCTTGCTCTCACTTAGTTCGAAAGGATGACACGCAGTCGTGTTAAATTTATTAGCCATCGGTGTTCCCGAATGTTTCGGCCGGTGTAATATTTCCTTTGCCTCATCCTCTTTAAGCGAGTACAAACTCGTTTGATCCATTACTTCGTTGCGAATTTTGTACAAATCCATTTCTATCAACTTTTACAGTAAAAATTGCTAACTGCTTCAAGAGTTCGGGAGCAACGATTATAATCATGTAGACATGCTTCTTTTGATTTTGACCTGCCCGCTAACTTATCATCAAACTGGCATTTTTGTCGCTCTCGTGAAGAGAGAAGAGCCAAAGATTGGAATAGACAGTTACTTAAAAAGAGCAAATGACCTATTTCTAACTTTTTTTCGCAAATAAAAACTAGAAGAAAAGCTCAAGGTCGCCGATCGCATAACACTGTACAAAGAGAGTTGCAGAAAGTTAGCACAGACAAAATTAATTCAAAAAGAACTTTTGCATGCAAAAGAAAACTTTTGCATCCAAACGCTTTTTTCAGACAGAAAGTACGTCTCAAGGTCATCTACAATTTTTGCATGCAATCGCTGTTCAGACAGAAAATACGTCTCAAGGTCAACTAAAACTTAACTTTGCATGCCGAAATTTGTCAAAATTGGCATATTGCTCATTTTGACTATGCCTGACCGTTTCCACTTACGTTCGCGACTTATTATATCATGCAATAGTTCTATCCTTTTTTCTACTTGAGAAATTATAGACAATTGCAATAAATTGGAACAGAAAAAATTATTTAAAAAGAGCAATTTACTTACTTTAGATAACTTAGCGCGCATAAACTAATTTTTTAGATTAACAAAATCACCAATAAATCAATTTTGTTTGCATGCAAAATTTGCTCAAAATTGGCATATTACTCTTTTTAATTATTTCAGTCAATTACAACTTTTCTATAGAGTTGAAAAAAGTCGGACAGACAGACTTAATTAAAAAGAGCAGTCTTTACTTTTTGACAAAGTTCTGTATGCAATTTCGTTGAAAAACTTGAAATAATGTGTTTCAAGTTTTTCAACGAAATTGCATACAGAACTTTGTCAAAAAGGAAAGACTGCTCTTTTTAATTAAATCTGTCTGTCCGACTTTTTTCAACTCTATAGAAAAAGTTGTAATTGACTGAATTAATTAAAAAGAGTAATCTGCCAATTTTGAGCAAATTTTGCATGCAAACAAAATTGATTTATTGGTGATTTTGTTTATCTAAAAAATTAGCTTATGCGCGCTAAAGTTGTGCGCGCATTCTGAAAAATTAGCTTTTGCTATTGCAAACTTCTTCTGAAATCTTCAGTTGAAAAACAGATCAACTGCTTTTATAAATTAATTCTGTCTGAGCTTTTTGCCAACTTTTGTGTAAACGAAGAAAGAAAAGACGGATAATTGTCTTATAATCACCGATTGATATGCTCTTTGAAACAGTTTCCAGAATTTGTATCAAAAGCATAAGCTGGCTGTTACAAATTAATTTCTTGATAAATTTTTCAGCAAAACTGTCACTCAAGATTTGTTTGGAAGCAACATTTGTTTTGGTTCCTGATAAAACTGAAGTGTAATTTCGTTGATAGAAAACGTTTCAATTTTTATTACAACTAGAATTTTAAGCCACTTGGTAAAAACTTCATTTCATGCCCATTTACAATTAGCCATTTTTATGCTAATTTCTGTATTTCAAAGCAAAATGAACAAAAAAGTTAAGGTTTTTAGATTTCAACCTGCTTAATTTAGCAGAACTTAAAATCAGCACAAATGAGTTTTCTGGTATTTGTCAAATCAAAAAAAAATTGGACATTTTTAGCGGGGAACTAAGAGTCTGATCTAATAAAAAAAATTAGTCTTTTAAGCTTGCGCGTGCTTCGATTTGACTTCCCTCCTTCACAAATGAGTGAAACATTTTTTTAAAAGTTGAATCTTTTTGCTTGATTAGACTCTTTTTCACGGTTTAAAATCAGGCAACTGTGCAGTAGACATAAGTAAAATTATCTGGACAAAACGATAAAAATGTACAAAAGTGATTTTTTTTTCAATTTGACTGGATTTCAAACAAAAACAAGGATACCCAGTTGCTGTGCAAGTACCACAGAATTCTCTTAGAAATTGAATAAAGCAACTAACACAATTTTCACGAGCCATAGTTCAACCACGCCATAGTTCCTTCCTACGCCATAGTTCAACCTACGCCATACAAAAACAACCTACGCCATAGTTCCTTCCCTTGATTTCGTGATAGGTCGGAAAGGATTAGCAAAAATTATTTACTAGCTTTAACTTAATATGATGCAGTTATGTTATGCAAAACTCTCGTAGAAATCTCCCAACAATGAGTTCGATTCCTTTGATTCAAAAACATAGCGCAAGAAAACCGGATTATGGTAATTTATTTTTAAAGAGAAAACTGCGCACAGCAGAGTTTTTTAAAAACATATTGCATTCTAACTAACAAGTAAAGTCAACTTGACAGTGTTAATAAATTCAACGAAGCAAAAACATTGAATAATTAATAGAAAAAATCATCTTGCTAAGAAAACAATTTCGAGCTTTCAAAAAAATTTTCACGAAAAACCAAACAAAACCCAAATGACCTGATTCAGTGTCTTCACGTCGTGCACAGAGTTGGAACCGGGCCCCGGCTTTTTACGGTCCGGGCCGGGCTCAGGCCTCATTCCTAAGATCAGCAACCAGGCCGGGCCTCAAATTCAGGCCCGGTTCCAACTCTGGTCGTCCATTGACACTTAAACATTCATTTGTTAAACAAACCATTATCTAGTTCTATAGCCCATGATGACTAAGAACTTGTACTGCAAACCCATGCCACTTAAAGAACAGAAAAACAACTTCCTTCATAGTATTTTTAACTTCCTTCATAAAACAAAAAATAGTACTTTTTTGAAATAGAAAGGGCTTATTTTGGCTATCAGTTGCCAAAAACTGGATTTATACTAATTTTCAGAACAATGTATCCTTCTAAAACATAGTTAGATCCTTCTAAAAATGTGCCCAGCAGTTAGGATGCAATTTTGGAATAAAGGAATCGAGCCCAAAAAATCCAAGTTTGGAAGAAAATTTAGGACTAATTATTGCCAAACAAATGCTCCATATAATTCTGCAAAAATTTAAGCAATTTCCTTCCGTTTTTGTCTCAACAGCAATTTTTGAAAAACCGTGTATATTTGAAAGTTTTCGATGCATTTTGCGCCGAAGATTTGAAACTGCAATGTATTTACAAAGCATATTAAAAACCGCTGAAATTTTAGGCATGAAATGCAGTAACATTTTAAATGCGGAAATGGTATGCTAACTATCCAGCAAATTTCATTACCTAAAAGCCTTGAAAGGGTTGTACCATTTTTACTTGAGATACATGTATTATTATCAAACCCTTCTTCAAATAGACTGAAAAAAACTTACAACGGTACCTGATTAGATTACAAAAAAAATGCGAAGTCAAGGCACCTTTTATGATTCAATTGGCATTCCAATCCGGCTATTGGAAAAAGAGCGCTACAGGGAAAGTAAATAGACACTGCGTGAATTTATAAGTTAAAAAATAGTGTTCACATGTAGTTCGATCAGTCCAGAAAGCAAATATTAACTTAAGCACGGGCGAATAAACGGAGCCATGCGGATATGAAAACAGACACCAGTTTGAAACTCGCAAACACAAGTGCGACAAAGATAGGATCAAGTTAACATCCTCCCTCCCTCCCCCTCCCCCCCCCCCCCCTCCAATGAAATTAATTGACGCTAGTACTTCAAAAAAATAAACTTTGAAACTAGTTTTTTAACAAAATTACATTTTAAATCCACATCTCACACCGAAACTTAGAAGAAGAAAAAATTCTTTACAAAGACAAAAAAACGTCACACAAAAAAATAAAAATCCGGTTTTCAAAACTCTCAACACGATGTGGTCGGACAGGAATAAATATCTACAAGTATTTTGTACCTGGAAATGAAGTCCTACGAAGACGGTTCTGAGTCCTCATATCTTTGTCTCCTCTCTTAGAAAGGCGTAACTTAAAAACCAGTCAATAATGAAATAAAAACAAATAATGAGATCAAATAAAGTCTATGCTCTTTTCATTGGATAGAGTTTAATACTAGTATTGGTAAAAAACAACATTGGTGATAGCAAAATAAATGAAAAGGGTACGAAAACTACATCTTCAGTAATAATTAATGCCGATTCTATTTTTGATTCAGTTAGATTAAGATATGCCGAAACGTTCCATCGAATAATGATCAAAGGCGATTGGCTCAAACTTGCAGATCAATTGAGAAAGTTGGGCTATTATTGTGTACTTAAACAATCGCAAGAGGACACATCAAAGGTAGTTTGAACTCCACTTATTTATGGGCGCTTTTGACAGCCAACAATTCCAACCTCATTCCGCTATATAGATGGTAATACTACATGAGAGAGCGGCATTCTCTTCAGGACGTTGGCCTGGATGATAGCGATAGTCAACGCAATTGACAGATTGCCACATCAAATCTCTCCTACATAATTACCACACCACTGCTCCATTTCTAGCTGACCTTTTTCAGGCTATTCGACCGCCCAGTAACTTTGCAACTTAATCGAACAGCAAAGTTTACGGGGAGCAAACAGTACGACTATTTACCTTATTTTAAACACCATTAATTGTCAATGGACGCTTGGTTTTCCTCAGCAGAACTCAAATTGTTGAAAAAAAAACATCATGCAAAAGTTTTGGTACCTTTGAAAATGAACTGATAATAGTTAAATTTCTGATAATAGTAAAAAAAAAACATTTACTACCGAAACCTTGTTATTCCAACCAATGACTTTCACACCACAAAAATCTATAATCTACTTATATTTTGTAGGAGGTATACATTGAGGAAATTATCTCCATTTGGATGAAACTTTTTATAACTGCGAGAGTAATTCATCCCTATTTATTAAACATCGCCCATTCAATTTACTTTTACATTTCCTAATTTCAAAGACAAGGGTTTTTAGGCAGCAAGGTGTTAAGTAAGACAGTACACAGATTGAATAAAATGCGCTAATCATATTCATCTTCGTCATTTTCCATCAAATGAGTTAATGTAACAGCCCTTCCTTTTTGAACACAAGAAACAGATTCTTCCTCCTCGTCGCTGATTACTCTCGTACGATGTTTCTTCAGTTTTGGCTGACTATTAAACTCAAATTCTGGCATAACAACTTTTGAGGCATTTTGTATTTTCACTTTTGAAGATGACTGTTTTTGTTGAACCTCGTGTGTTTTCCGGTTTCTTAAGTCTTTGAGGAATTCTAAAGCTACTGCACTATTAAGCGCATCACCGCGTAAATTTCCATATTTTTGACTAGCACAGACAGAATTCAATGAATACTTTGTGTATTTTCTGAATGATGCTCCAGATCGATGCATTCCTTGCACAAAGTTATGGCTAGAGCTAGAATTAGGGACCTGATATTTTCCTTGCACGGGTTTTGGTAATTCTCAATAACTTGATTTCGAAGCGAGAGAGTGGCCTTCGGACAGATTTAAGGAACTGAAAGTTGACTTGCATCTAGAAGAAAAATCTCTGTCTGCGTCATTCAATTTGAACCCATTACTGCTTCTTTTCATTCTACTGAAGGAAAACTATGTAAACAATAGACAAGAGACACAAAGATGCAACCAACAAATGGAGCCTTGTCCCAATTACTGAAGCTTTATAGAATATGCCAAAAAAACCATCTCTTTCAGACAAGAAAAACTGTTTCAAACGCGGAACTCGTTTGATATAAGCACAGGTGCACGTTAGTATTATCCCGAAGATGAAAAGTCCGTCAAATGAATATACATTCGTCATTCATAATCTGCAAATCAACAGCGTGGATTACATACTTTTGCGAGGAGCTGAAAACAATAATTGAATCCTGATTAAAACCAGTTTTAAACAGTGAATCCCAAATTTTAAAACAAGATGATTACACAAAGAAAATGCGCAATAAATATATCCATAGAAAAACAAGGATAGCCGGTGTTGTGATTGCACCTTATTTTGCATTTATTGCAAATCTTATTTAGCTTAATTAGATTAGATAACAGGTCACTCTTATATGACCTTCATTGGCCATTCTCTCCGGCGGAGAGAATGATCTCTCATTGTTTAATGTTTTAACTTACCGACTAATTCACTTAAATTCTTTATCCTTTTTAATAGTTTTAACTTAGAATTAGCTACAAAAAAGTAATATTTTATCAGCCGGTTACTCTGCGAGTAGCATAGAATCTTCCTACCATATTTTCAGGAAACTCCCGTTTAGAATTTTTTTCCGAATTGGTGGTTTCTTCTGCTCTGTAGAAATTTGAAATATCTCCATGAACTTTTTCCATTGGTTGCCACTGTAGGATCTTCTTTGAGGTTTTTGCTTTATTGTTTTTGCTTTTTCTGTACGTAAGGATGTTAATGAAATTAATTTTTACATCATACTACTGACTTAAAAAAAAGAATTTTGATGCTTTGCCCGAGAATCTTTCGAGAAAACATAATTTTTTTTTGTGTTCGTGTTTGTGAATGTTTTCATAATGAATTTTTGTAAGCTGAAAATACATGGTACTTAATCTCCAGAAACTTGTTGACCATTTAAAAGGTTACAAGGATAGTGTAGGTGAGTGATCAAAAACAATGAACACTTTAAAAGCAAAATGAGAGTTAATATTATTAAGCAAGTGTAAGTCACACAACTTTTCTTGGTTATATATTTATTTACAATATAATAAAATGGTTAGAATTTTAACATCAAACAAAATTAACTGGTTTCCATGTTGTTTTTACATAGCTTGCCATAGAAGAATCTTCACGAAAAATGGATAGAAAAAATTCCTTGAACTTAAATTTCATAGTCTTATGAGTCAAACTGCGATTGTTTATGTTTGAATTAGAATTTTGAAATTGGTTCCAAAAATGAACAGTCTTTCTGAAAAAAAAATCGATATAATGACTGTTGAATCTTATGGACGGCAAAACAGATAACCAAAGACAGTCGAGAATGGAGAGAAACACCCAAGAACAAAGACGATATGACGGAGAGGAATCAGCCTCGATCAAATCTGAAGCCAAGAAATTCAATGGAATGCGACTAGAAGAAGCTGATAAAAACTACGATCAGTTCTATATCTAGCATTGGGAAACGAAGGAAAAAGGATTTTCGGACAAAAATTTACCAAGGTGAAAATCTTACAAATCTCTTTTAAAGAATTTTGGGATTCCCTAGCGATCGCTTTCGTAAGAAAGACAAATGTCACATTTGAACGACATAAACTGCTAAACCGAAAATAACGGGATAGAGAATCGCTTGAACAATTTTGGGGTGCCTTAGCAGAAAGGGCAAAAAGTGCGACATAACGAGGAGAAGAAGAGTGGATACGAGACATTTTCATAAACAATATGAAAAACTACGACATTCAAAGAAAGCTCCTAACAGAAACTCTTCCCCCACGAGAAGCACTAAACGTAGCACTCATAGATGAAAAGGGAATTTTAAATCACCTAAAGCTAACAAACAATTTTGAATCCAACGGATCATCCGTACATAAATCACCATTTTAACGTCAAAAGAGAGCCAACTCTCAATATCGAAAAAAGCAACAACTGTATGAAGTGCGGCGGAATCTTCTCAAAAGGCCACCTAGCAGTTTGCCCAGCAAAGGACACTTCCTAGACTTCTTGTAAATATAAAGGTCATTTTACCAGACTTTGTAGATCTCGCCGTAAAAATGTAAACATTGTAAATAGCCAAATTGTAGATAATACAGATTTTAATCCGCCGGATACTCCGGATGCAAATACAGACCATGTAAATAGAGAATGTTGTGGCGTCAAAAACGCATGGTCGGAATCTGGACAAAGCGAAAACGACGATTATTCTGTATTAAACGTAACTACGATTTTTGATGAAGATGGAAAAGAATTGAAGAAATTATTGAATATTGGCCTCGGAAAAGAAAATCAAGTAATTTTAAATTTACAAGTGAATTCAACTAGCCCGGTCAGCTTCCTCAAGAAAAAGGTGTTACACGAATTGAAACTACGAGACCCCTACTTGAAAATCTATCCGGTGGATAAGGCAACCAAGAACCTTTACTGTGGATTCACGGATAACGCCATAAACATTTCTGGAAAGGTGAAACTTTCGATCTTCTCAAACGGCTGGTCAGACAACGACTGTCATTTCTTTTTGACCGAGGGACACGAGAGAAATATCTTAGGAAATGACAATCTACCGAAAGTGGGGATAGAAGTCTAACAGAAATACTTCCCGCATTTCCAGACTAACAAGCAGTGTAAGTCAATAAATTCCATCTCTCAAACAGACAAAGATAGGGAAATTCTAAACATATCAAAAACATTCAAAAATTTATTCCTTCGGATTGGAAAAATTAAAAACCAGATGAAAATCACCCATTTTCACGAACCCCTAAAACCAATCCAACTAAAAGGAAGACGAGTTCCCCTACACTTACTGAATTCTGTTACGACAGAACTCAACAGATTATAAGACGAGGGACATATTAAAAAACTAGAAAATTGTGACGAAGATCGTTTTATCAGTCCAATAGTCATTACTTGCAAAAAAGACAGATCCATCAAGTTAGCTTTGGATTCAATAACAAATACCAAATGCCGAACATCCACGAACTGGTAGACAATGTCGCGGCGCAAATTGCTAATGATTTCGTTGGAGAAGTGTGGTTTACTAATTTAGACCTAAAAAATGCATACAGTCAACTTGCATTAGATAAATTTACTAGCAATCAATGCAATTTTAGTATCGTGGGCGGTGATATTACGGGTACTTCCCGATTTTTAACCGGCTTTTACGGACTAGGTGATATGCCTAACGAGTTTCAAAGAGTAATGGATTCTACGTTAGGTTCTATCCCTTTTACCAACTGTTACCTAGATGACATTTTAATAGCTTCCAGAGGAACATTTTTAGACCAAAAGAACATTGTGTTGAAAATTTTATCGACACTGGACGAATATAACTTCGCGGTCAAATGGTCAAAATGTAAATTCTTTCAAAAAGAAATAGAGTGGTTGGGATGCAAAATCTCAAAAACAGGAATCACACCTTTATTCGACAAATCAAAAGCAATAAAGGACTTACCTGTTCCAAAGAACTTGAAAGAATTAAGATCATTTTTCGGATCTATAAATCAGTACATCAGGTTTGTCCCGAATTTAGCCTCTCTAAGAAGCCCACTTCGACCGCTTCTTAATAAGAAAACGATCTTCCAATGGAACGACGACCATACGAAAGCGTTTGAGAAAATTAAACATGAAATTGAAAATCTAACAGAGAATACCCATTTTGATGTAAAACGCAACACTAGAGTAAAAACGGACGCGTCGCACAATGGTTTGGGAGCTTCCCTCGAACAACTCTATGGGAATGACTGGAAAACAATTTCTTTTGCCTCTCGTTTTTTAAACCCACAAGAGTCAAAATATTCTACGAATGAGCTCGAATTGTTAGGGGTCGTATGGGCCGTCGAACACTACAAAAACTACCTTTACGGATCGGAATTCGAAAGAATTACTGACCACAAAGCTTTACTTTCCGCTCTCACCAAATCACGGAAATAAAACATATCATAGTAGATTAACAAGATGGGTGGACAGATTGTTACCTTTTAAGTTTACAATCAAACATCTAGCAGGAAAGGATATGGGCTTCACTGACCTTATTTCTAGGATTCCATATGGAAAAGCCCTCACAATATCTCATTACGACGAAGAATTTGTAGTGGCAAATATTAATAATATTAACAAATCAATTAATCCGTCGGAGAATCAAAGAATTACCTGCTCAGCCATTGGTTCTAATCTGGAAAATTCCGATTACGCTAAATTACGTAATTACTTAATAGCGTCAGTTTTAAAACTATGGTTCCAAATATGAACAGTTTTTCTGAAAAAAAAATTTGATATAATGACTGCTGAATCTTGCTTTAAAATTTAAATGTTTAGTTATTTTGTTCCCATCAATTGCGCTAATCACGTACTTTTGATGAGAGTTTTTGAAGAGAATTCGAAATTTTTTAAGTATCTCGCAAAAATTTTCATCAGAAATTTTGGCTCACGTAGTAAAAACTTCATAGAATTATATGTTAAAAACTGTTCAAGCTGCAATAAAATTAACTTTGACATAATTCTTATATCCAATATTCAATTATCAGAAGAAAAACTATTTGAAAAAAGCCGATCCGAGCGTCTGACATGATTTTCGACACAGCTAAGAAGGTGCCTTTTGAATTTTTTAGGCAATTAAAAAGTAATTCCACCAGAGAAAATGACGTCATTACACTTTTACTTTTACAGAACAGTAAAAATTTTAGAATAATTCCAACAGAGAAAATTGCGTCAAAATTCATTAACTTCTTGAATCTTCTAATTTTTAGAATCTACCGATTAAATCCTCGAATTTCATAAGTTATTACACATTAACTTCTAGATTTTTCCGAATCTTCTAAACTCTAAAAATATCCAATAAAAATTTAACCAATCAGAATTCCAGAACTAACTCTAAGGTGATGAGATTGATGAAAAAAGTCGTGGATTTTACTTATTTTGCTA